CCTTTCATTTTTTACCTTCAAAATAAAGGGTTTTCCTGAAAGATTTTGGGATTTTAATGTTGTCTGCAGATTTGTCTGGAAAGGCGGCTACCTCGCTACCTTTGCACGAGGTAAGTAATTGTACTGCTTTTCTATTTTTTTTTGTTTTATTTTCTGTTGCTCGTTTTTTAAGTGCTGGGTTTTGAATTTTTTTCACTTATTTTCTTTTTCTTCTAATGGCAGCTAGGGGTGAAAGCGGGTGGACATTCTATTGCTCACTGCAGCTCGAAGAATTTGGCTCCGATTCGCATCAATAAATTTGGTATACAGTCTTTTCATTTTTTTCCTCATTTTGAGCAAAAGAAATACTCAAATGGTGTTATATGTTTAGAAACTAATTAATTGAATCTTAGCTTCTTGTTTATCTTTCTCATTGTAAACATTCCCGTTCACGCCCCAAAATGAAATGTTAAATGGATGGGAATAATGGGCAAGATTCAGTTTCAAAGAAGTTAGTTTGCTTAAATGGATGGGAATAAATTTTTGTTGTCTGTGTTTTTTGTTAAGATTGGGGACATCCCTTCTATATTTGCATTATAATATCTTTGTGCTGCTCAAACATGAATATCAAAAATCAGAAAAGGAATTTGGGTTGGTACTGAATGATGACTATTATTCTCTAACATATTTATACGAATTTGCATCATTGACAAAATTGAGGTGTTATAGGTAAATTTTATGGTCCATTTATTGGTTGCCAATTTTGTTAGCATTGTATTTTAAATTCTTGGGTTAGTTGCTATAAGGTTTCTTATTAGCTATATTTTCTGATGTGACACATATGCTTAACTGATGATGCAGCTATCCGTGCTGTTATAGCCAGTGATAAGGAGTCAATTCCTGTTGGTGTCACAGAAGGGAAAGTTCTACGTAAAAAATTGGACAAGGTGGTGCTAGCCTATAGTGGTGGTCTAGATACCTCTGTCATTGTACCTTGGCTCAGGTAACCTTTGATTGATATGTTCTCTATGTTCTCAAATATGACTGCTAAATTGACATTTTCTAAAGAGTGATACTCTATTTGCTCTGGGAACTCGGATGTGTCATTGCTGTATGTGTACCTATTACTTTTAAAAAAACAAATGAAGCCAAATTGGGTGATTACATAGAATTTTGTACAGAAGTAGTGCAGACGCTTGTGTAATTTGTAGATTTCTTGTTTATGGAGCTGTAATGGGTGAGGTTGAGATAAAAGTTAAGCAGACAGATTTCTCTGTTCAGTTAATATACTGTGGTAATTACATGGATTATACTTGGTTTGTATTGACTGGTATATTCATTTTATGCTTTCTATGAATAGAGATATTATTTTCCTTGTTCTGATCCTGCTCGTGTTTTGCATGTCTAAATTTTCTTCATGTTGCAGAGAGAATTATGGTTGTGAGGTTGTTTGCTTCACAGCAGATGTCGGCCAAGTAAGTGAGAATGGGCTACATTGTGGACACTTTTTTCATATTTAGTGCCGTAGACATTCCTTTGTATATGTGCTACTATTCATTTTATTCTCTAGGAGCAGATTATCACTATTGTTCATAATATTGCCAGATTACATTAGAAGCTTGTCTCTGTATCTGACACTTAATGCTGAATTCTATTTAAAGGGTATTAAAGAATTGGAAGGTTTAGAAGAGAAGGCAAAAGCAAGTGGAGCTTGTCAGTTAGTGGTGAAAGATTTGAAGGAGGAATTTGTGAAAGATTACATATTTCCTTGCTTGAGAGCTGGCGCCATTTATGAGAGGAAGTATTTACTGGGTACCTCAATGGCTCGCCCTGTAATTGCAAAGGTAAACTATGTGAAGTAAATAACTAAAATATGCACCATGGAGTCGTGTGTCTTAAAGAGTTTCACTCTTTGAGTATTCCTTCCCTTTCTTTCCTTCTTTTCCTTGCAACAGTTGGAGACGAGTCTTTTGCAAGTCCTCCTCCTCTCCCCCCCCCCCCCCCCCCCAACAAAAAAACCCACAAAAAAAAAACAAAAATACCCTCTTCCCACTTTCACCCTTAATTTCTGTTAAGCAGTTTGTCAAGGAAGTAACTTTAATGTGTGTATGTTGTTGTTTTGATCAAATATTGGATCCAACACTCCACAGAATCATTTTGAAACTTGCTATAGAAGCATTTTTGTTAATCTATGTTAAAGCTCCATGGTGCTGCGTTTACACAATATTCTTATAGTAGGGTTTCTCATTTCATAGGTGGCATTATCTGTCCGTTAAATTTTCTTTTAGCTTTGCACCTTAATTTTTTAACAAATCCCAGGCAATGGTTGATGTTGCGAGAGAAGTTGGAGCAGATGCAGTATCACATGGATGCACAGGAAAGGGCAATGATCAGGCATGCTTCAGAATTGATCTTTATTAATTTGATTGTTATTTGATCATATTTTCTTCTACGAACAATGTGATGTTTCTAGTAGTTCATGTTATTGGGGAGTATACCTGACTCTTGCTGTTGCAGGTACGTTTTGAGCTGACTTTCTTTGCTCTGAATCCCGAACTTAGTGTTGTTGCCCCTTGGAGGGAATGGGAAATAAGGGGTAGAGAAGATGCTATTGAGTATGCTAAGAAACACAGTATTCCAGTTCCAGTTACAAAGAAATCAATCTATAGCAGAGACAGAAACCTGTGGCATCTCAGTCATGAGGTAATAGCATGACTACCTTTCTTGAAAAGTAATTCCAGCTTATTATGATTTTTTAAATGATGTTTAGGCATACAAGAAAGCAGAATGCTTTCATTGCAAACCCCAAAGCACTTGACTAGCAGCTTCACCAAGATGTCATGCTAGTAAATTATAACATTCTGGTATTCAGTTCAGTGTGAAGTTCTTGCTATCCTGGTTGGGAAGTTTGCTCACCTATTATCTTGGCTTAGCTGGTTTGCATACTACTTTCCTTCCCAAAGATAGAAAGGTGATCTTATCTATTGAATCATTAGTCAATTCGGTCTAGTAAAAAAATCATAAATAAATAGCAGCTAAGGTTCTCGAGATAATAGAACGCAAAATAGTGAGCCTGGAAACATTAGAACATAGTAATTACTATGGTTTTATCTGTTTGGATGCCAACTAGGTTGTCATGGCTTTAAAAGTAGGCGAAAACAGATGTTATAAGCTATTTAACTTGTCCCCAGGACCCAGCTTAGCTGGTAGGGACATTTGCCAATGACCATAAGGCCCTGGGTTCAACTCTCAATCCCTGCCCTTTCCTCCTTCCCCTTTGTAAGGTTCAGAATCTCCCTGTGAACCAAACAGGAAAGAAGCTATTTAACTTGGTTTCTTTCTAGAAACATTCTGAACTTAGTCTTATTGTTCATTAGAAAAGCAGATCTGGTGCCAGATTCTGTTCATATCCTGCTATTTGCGTCGTTGTTTTAATGAGAATCGCTTTTGTTTAACTGTTGTTTTTGCATCCTCTTAGTTTTGTGAACTGATGATCTACGACCTAAATGTAGTTGCCATTGCTTGCTACTATATTTTTGTTTAGGGAGACATATTAGAAGACCCCGCGAATGAGCCAAAGGAGGACATGTACATGATTAGTGTCAACCCAGAAGATGCACCTGATCAACCTGAGTAAGGCTCCACCTTGTATAGTATATGATTCGTTCAGAGCAAAAAATTTGTGCTGATTGGGTATTGAAATATCTGACCTATTTTATTGCATAATATTCAACCACTTTAAATTCCGAGTCCTTTCAGGAAGGTGAAAATTGGGATAGATGCTGGACTTCCAGTTTCAGTTGATGGAGAGAAGCTTTCCCCTGCATCTCTCCTCTCTAAGCTAAATGAAATTGGTAAAAGGCACGGGATAGGGCGAATAGATATGGTCGAAAATCGTCTTGTCGGAATGAAAAGTCGTGGAGTGTATGAAACCCCTGGTGGAACCATTCTCTTTACAGCAGTCCGTGAACTCGAGTCACTTACACTTGATCGTGAAACAATGCAAGTCAAGGATTCTCTCGCACTAAAATATGCTGAGCTAGTCTATGCTGGCCGCTGGTTTGACCCACTTCGTGAGTCAATGGATGCCTTCATGGAGGAAATTACAAAAACCACTACTGGCTCTGTGACGCTCAAACTCTACAAGGGATCTATATCCGTAGCAGGTCGAGAAAGTCCATTTAGCTTGTATAGACAAGATATATCATCATTTGAGAGTGGCCAAATATATGATCAGGCTGATGCTGCTGGATTCATTCGGCTTTATGGACTGCCGATGAGAGTCCGAGCCATGCTTGACAAGGGTAGATATGATTAGTTTTGCTTCCATTTGTAGTAATACAAATAAGTTATCCGCAGGGGTTTCCATATTTTGCAATTTTGTTAGAACCGTCTTGTGACTAGATAGTGGTATTGGTTGTTCTTCGTTTTTTTTTGTTTGGTCGTAATGGCACGTATAGTTTAGCCTAACCTACTCCTACTCTTACTCCTTTTGGTGGGGAGGGAACCTACTCTATGGAGTGGTCCAACTGAGTCGGGGAACTTGACGAGAACTGAACCACCATCAAATTAGACAGATGCATCAAACATTCATATGAATTTAAAACAAACCTCATATTGAGGCACGTTGATGGGAGGTAATGTTTTAATATTTGACCTCACACCTCACAATTAATGTGGTGGTCAACTCTTCTAGGTTGGTGGCTAACTCCCAACCTGATGGAGAGTGGTTGTTCTTCGCTTTGATTTTGAAAGTTCTGTGCAAAAATTTGCATATGTCTAGTCCACTCAAGATCTATAATATCTAAAGATGGATGATCTGAAGCTTTATGCCAGAGAGATTTGAGTAATGCGGAGAGTTTACAAGGAAATGGTGCAGGGTTATATACACATGGGCTATATTCATTGGTTTGAAAGATAAATCTTATTATTTTAACTTATTATTGTCGGAATATTATTATTAATAGTAATAAACCTTACATTGATAGAAAGATTAAAACAAAATAAACTAAACATAAAAGTGGTTCCATTACATTTTTCTATATACAGAATCAGCATTAGTAAAAAAAAAATAAACATAAAGTGGTTGCATTGCTAACCCTTTTCTATATACAAAATCAGCATATTAGCTTGAGTACCATATCTATAAACCAAAGTGATAAAACTCCAAAAAAAAAAAAAAAAATGTGCCAAGAGTTGCAACATTGACTAGCAATTGAAGGTGCACGCATCAACAAGCGTACCATGAAGCTTATGTATCGTGACTCTGTTTCTACCACGAGTGGAGGGATCAGGGAAGGGGAAAAAAAATGGTTCTATTGTAGAATTATGAAGTAGCTGGCCTAGGTTGAAGTCATATGAAGTGCAACCAGTGATGCGTAGACACCATCAGGAATGTTCATAAGCGTATCATGTCCTCCTTTCTCAGCAATCACACCATTCTTGACTACTGCAATGATATCAGCCCCTTTTATTGTGCTCAAGCGATGAGCGACAACAACTGTGGTTCTATTCACCATCACCTTATCTAGTGCATCTTGAACTATACGTTCTGATTCTGCATCAAGAGCACTTGTTGCCTCATCTAGCAAAAGGATTTTTGGATCTTTGAGTATTGCGCGTGCAATGGCGATCCGTTGCTTCTGTCCACCGGATAACTGGACCCCTCTTTCTCCAACAGAAGTATCATATCCCTGAGGCAATCCGGAAATGAAGTTATGTGCATTTGCAGCTTTTGCTGCAGCAATGATCTCCTCCTCTGTTACATTCCCCCGTTTGCCATAGGCAATATTGTCCCGAATTGTTTCGTTGAAGAGTACAGGTTCTTGACCCACCAACCCCATTTGTTGCCTGAGCCAATTTATCTTCAGCTTCCACAATTCCACATTATCAAGATATATGTGCCCGGAGTCAGGATTATAGAACCTCTCTATTAGGCTAATGACTGTGGACTTCCCGCTACCACTTTCACCAACAAGGGCAACAGTCTGAATACAAGTTGAATGTTTGTGAGTCCAAATAACAGCATATTAGATGTGCCTATATAGGATGAGCCATCCTTTTGAGTTTTTTTAATAGTTTATAGAAAGTAGGTTGAGAAAAAGAAAGCTTACAGTAAAAGAATATCATTGGGAGTTACCTTTCCAGAAGGAATTAATAGGCACAGATCCTTGAAAATTTGAACATCGGGCCGTGTTGGATACCTGAAGCTTACATGTTGCAACTCAATGTCACCCTTCACAGTAGCAAGCACTTGACCCTCATCACTGCTTGAATCAATCTTAGGCTTACTATCAAGAATTTCAAATATAGAAGCAGCAGCAACTTTAGCTTTGTTAATATCTGGAGTCAAAGCGGTTGTCTGGGAAACTCCCAAAGCTGCCATTGTCAATGCAAAGAAAACCTGTATGGAACCTGTGTTAGATAATAAAAGATTTGGATAAAGATGCAAAAAAGCCTACTCTTGTGAGGTTTATGAGATGAACCTTACCTTGAATACATCACCAAAGGTTGCTTTCCCATGTTCAATAAGACGAGCTCCAATCCAGAAGATGAATGCAGTTGCTAAATAGTTTGCAGAAGACCCAAGTCCAAAGCTAAAGCCACTGACCATTCCTTGCTTAACACCATATTTCATGGGGCCTTCACATTTCTTTTGATATGTGTCCATAACCTTCTCTTCAGCACAAAATGATGCAACAGTTCTAATACTGCCAACAGCATCATTTGCTACCTGACTTGCTTCTTCATACATGACCTGCAGAGCATTGAGACGCGTATCAGTTCACTGCATCTTTTCTTTTTCCTGGCTTTGTGTAATGTGCAGGGATTACCTTGGCATCTCCACTAAAGCCCTTATGGAACTTCGCCTGGAGAAATCCTTGTAATCCAATGAAGGGTAATACGGCTACAACTATAAATGCTAGTATCCAATTAGCAGTAAACGAGATCACAAGCCCAGTTACTACTGTCGACAGATTCTGGACAACTAGCGCCAAAGCATCGCCCACCAAACTCCTCATAGTTGAAGCATCAGTAGACAACCTCGCACCCACAGCACCACTGTTTTTTGGGGAAACAAAAATTCCAATTTAAACTCCTGAATTAAAGCAAAGGGCATTGGGCCATGAGAACAAATGAATAAACTCACCTCGAGTTTGCAGGGTCATCAAACCAACTGATTTCTTGGTGGACTACTTTCTGAAATGACAAAGATCGAATTCTTTGTATTAATTTACCACCTGCAACTCCAAAAAGGTAATTCTGCACTGGTACAATTGCCAAAGTCAAAGCACCTAAACCAACAAGCATCAGTGACCAAAATCTCGCATCTTTCCTTAGTTCATGTGGAGGTTCAAAGAAAATTCTAATGCATTTTGAGAGTAAGAGCCCAAAAACAGGGAAGACAACACCATGCCCACAAGCAGCAATGGAACCAAGCAGCATAAATGGTAGCTCAGGTTTGTTTAAATTGAAGAGTCGTAAAAGTGAGAATTTTTGGCTCTTCTTCAAGTCAGCTTCATCAGTTCCATGTACATCTTGTCCTACTTCTGCTTCATGGATGTCAATGAGACCAGGAACTCCAAAATTGAGAGTGAAGGAATGTCTTGATGATCCTCTGCTCGTGGATCTCAGAGACATTCTTTGGCTCAAACTCCTATGTAAACTGTCATCTAAATCAATAGAAGCTTCTGATATCTCTACGTCCAATTTTGTGGAATTTCCTTTAGCTTGGTTGGACCTGGACCCCTCTTGCATACGGACAAGCTGGTAGTATGCGCCATTAGGATCTTTAATCAACTCGGAATGAGTTCCTACCAAATGATTTTTGGAGGAAAGTTCATAAATTGCCCCAAGTGAGAAAAAAAAAATGTAACATTCACAAATCATAACGTCTGTACCTTGTTCAACGAGTTTACCAGCATGTACTACTGCTATGAGGTCAGCATTTCTGATAGTCGTCAATCTATGTGCAACAACCACTGTAGTTCTGTTGATCATAACCTTATCAAGGGCGTCTTGTACTATGCGTTCCGACTCTGCATCCAGAGCGCTTGTCGCTTCATCAAGAAGAAGGATTCTTGGGTTCTTTAGAATGGCTCTAGCAATTGCAATCCGCTGCTTTTGTCCCCCAGAGAGTTGAGTTCCATGTTCGCCGACCATTGTGTCAAGCCCCTATAGAGAAGATAACCAGATTCTCAACATGGACAGATAGAGAAATCGAGAATCTGCATATATTCGAACAAATCAAATAATCAAGAGCCTTTACCTTAGGGAGTTTGTCGATGAATTTCGCAGCATTAGCCAGCCCAATTGCTGTTCTGATTTCTGAGTCCGTTGCACCTGGTTTTCCATACAGTATGTTTTCCCTTATGGAAGTTGCAAATAGGATTGGCTCCTGGCTCACTAGCCCTAATTTATCTCTTAACCATTTGATCTGCAGCTGCTTAATGTTCACGCCATCAACAAGCACTTCCCCAGCTTCAGGGTCATAAAATCTCTCCAAGAGACTGATAACTGTCGATTTCCCACTTCCACTGTGCCCTACTAAAGCTGCAGTCGTGCCACTAGGAACGTGCAATGTGAATCCAGAGAAAATTTGCACATCTGGTCTTGCGGGATACTTGAAGTATACATCCTTGAGGTCAATTTCACCCTTCAAGTCTTCCAAGACAATCCCACTATTATCATATGCATCAATTTGGGGTACACGCTTGATAGTCTCAAACATCTTGAAAGCTGCAGCTTGCCCTGCTGAAAATGCATTTAGACTGGGAGATGTTTGGCCCAATGACCTGATTCCAATAGAAATAATGAGTTAAAACTGCTCTTGAAATGCATTAATCCATCATCGCTTAGAATCCATAGCTTTGTTCAAGTTACAACTGATTTCATATATTTTGCCAAATCTCCTGAAGCATTAGAATCTTGTATACAGTGGATCAAAATCCAAGCTTATTAAACATATAATTAACCTCAAAATCTTGATATTTGCCCAATTACAATGAACTCAAGAACACAGAAAAACAAAAAAAAAAAGAAAAGAAAAGTTCGAACATCAAATAGATTAAAAGAAAACATTCTATACTTACATTCCTCCCATCATTATGGCCATCATGACATTAATGACATCCCCACCATTGTATCCTTTGGTTAAAACTAGCCTGGATCCATAATATATTGCTAGTCCATAAATAGAGAAGACAATCAGCAAGATCGTGCCAAGTCCCAGTCCTGAAACCAGTCCTTGTTTATTTGTCGACTCATAAGCAACCTGTAGTTTGTCGTCATATTTCTTGATTGCTCGCTTTTCTCCGGTAAATGATGCAACCTATGACACATTAAATGGAGAACAAAAATCAAATGAATTAATTCACTGGCTACAAATTATTACACCGATCCAAAACAAGCTTTTGCAGCAAGACTTTACCGTTCTAATTGCTCCTACAGTTTGTTCTAATACATTTCCGGCATCTGCATAAGCAATTTGGCCACGGCTTGACATTTTGGACATGAACAATGCCATAGCTCCTCCAGCAACAACCAGAGCAGGAATACAACTGCATAGGACTATTGCCAAACGCCACCCCTTGATGAAACCAATCACAAATCCTCCAAGAAATGTTGATGCAAACTGGATGAATTTCCCTACCTGTCATGTAGGCAAAGCATCAGGAATTTGCTTTTAAAGTTCTATACATCAGAAAATGCATGTAGTACCAAAATATCAGGAAAAAAAAAAAAAACCACTTGCTTCCTTACTTGAGAGATTATAATCTGAAGGTGCTTCCGGAACAATAATTCTATGTTGCATGTTGCAAATATATAACACTGGTGAGTTTTGTATTGGTATCAAGTTATGACGGTGTACGACTATCTTAAAACTGAATTAGTGCATTAGCATTTTGCTATAAATTTCACCTTTTCACCCATGGCTTCTTGGATGAGGACTGTGTCTCCAGACATTCTGCCAATGACCTCTCCTGTCGTTGTTTGAGTGTCAAAGAATGAAATGTCTTGCCTCAAGATTGTTTTCAAGTACAAACCACGTATGCGGGTCGCCTGTCTTTCTCCAGTTACCATCCAGCACGACATCTCTGTATTAAATTAGGAAGAAACATTACATCAAGCTTAGCTTATTCGTTTGAACTGTAAGTAAACGTATATTTTAAACCGTGTAGAAAAAGTTGAACCAAAATTCTGCATCAACCAATTTCTTGAAATCCATTTCCCAATTGAAAGGCAAAAGCCATTGACCATTATATTTTGTGATACACAATTAATCATGCCAGGGTTGCTTACTTCATTAAATGACAAGCGTAAATACTTGACTAGTGATTGATTGCTTTATCCTCCTCTTGAGGGGAGGATGATTACTAGTTCTAGCTAGTTTTAGCACCCATTAATATAGCTATACACTTAATTGCTGCTGACCAAAACAACTCATATACCAGAGGCCTCAGTTCTGGTCCCAAAGCTAGATACCTCTTCTTCCAGGGCAGCAGAAAGACTTGTTACTATGCATGAAAATTGCGAGAGAGTTTAATTATGGTAAAATTTCAGCCATGATAATTTCTGCTAAGCATCTTCAACGTCACTTGCCATCCCAAATTTCTTCCCCTCTATAATAGCCTCACCTAACACTGCTACAGTTTAGTTTAGCCTAATCCTAAGTACACGTGGCACGTAACTAAGCAGCTGGAGAAACTGCTAAGAACTTTGTAGTGTTGCCTAATTCAGTCAACAAAGTATAACAATTTATTCAACAAAAATGAAAAAGAAAGAAAAAAAAAAAGTAAGGAGTCAATCTTGACTTACGTAAAATGGAGGCAATGCCAGCGCCGATAGCCAAGTAAACATAATCAAGGCACACCTAAAATTCAGAGCAACAACTATTTAGTACGTTTGTCGTGGTGTTTGATTTAAAAAAAATAAATACCAATTTTTATTCTTCAGATTAAATAGCAACAAATATGGCTTGCTAATCCAAATATCAGTGTCATTTGGGTTGATTTTGCCCAAAAAAAGAAAAGAAAGTAAAAATATGCACCTTACAAGTTATTGTTTTCAGAGAAGGTTTCTCCTGGTGTTTCATTAAAAAAAATACCAATATTCATGCTTCGTATTAAATAGCAGCAAATATGGCTTGGCTTGCTAATCCAAAATTCACTATCACTTGGATTAATTTTGCCAAAAAAAAAAAAAAAAGAGAGTAAAAGTATGCACCTTAAAAGTTATCGTATTCAGAGAAAATCAGAACGGGATGCTCTGTTAAGTACTCATGCATTCGTTCTTTGATACTGTTTCCATGAAGCTAAAATTTACTACTCTTGTTGGGAAAATTTTCCAGTAGACATCAATAAGGACATTATATTCGAGTAATCATTACGTAATTAGCTCATTTCAGTTATCAAATGCTGGGCATGTTAATACTTTTTAAAATCAGTGCATAGCTTCTAGGAAGAAAACAACTGTGTATGAATCCGTTTGGTACGTGATGCATTTATTAGTTGGCAACCCTTACTAGTAACATTAAAACATTAAATTTCGCAATTAATTTTGAGAGTAAAGGAAAGAGATTATTTTCGAATGAAGCAAGAATGTCTTGATTCGAATGATCATTTTCAGTCTCCTATCTAAATTTGACTCTTACAAATATGAAGTGTAGTCAAAGGTAATATAGGAATGGAGATGGAAAGTCATTGTCAATCAAGAATATTTCTTGCATGGAAGAGCAAAATTAAGAGCCAAGACATGATTTAGCAACGTTTTATCTAACAAACAATAGAGAACTTAGAATTTCAGAATTGCAGAATTTGGTACCCTAAGAAGACCTTAGAATTTCACACAGTACCCCACAATTTTTAAGGGATTTTCCTAGGTGAAGAACCCTCCTCCTCCATCATTATTCACATGCAAACGAAGAATAATGGTGGAAATTGACAAGAAAACAACGCCAAGAAACATTAAAAAGAAAACCAAAAACACGCACCAAAAAAAAAAAGAAAAAATTTACCTTCGAGATTTCATCTAAGAGATCTGGTTTTCCACTGCTACCACCAAAGGTATTAATAAGCTTCCCAAATATCAGGGTCATGATAGGCTGAGACATACCATTGCCAATGGCTCCGAGTGTTCCCCCAATCATTAGTGCAATGTCAAGACGATCTGCAAACGTGAAAAGCTTATAAAATGGCACTTTCTGTTGATCTGCATTCTGGGATTTTCCCGTTGTCGCCGACGGCGTAGTTTCCGACTCCGTTTCGGGCATTCTCAGGCCTTCTTCCTCTCTATATATCTCTCTCTCCCTTTACTGAGAACTTGTAGATATAAAAAGAGGGAGGGAAAGAAGATTGTTTTCCTGAAGGGCCCAAGCTAAATCTTCTCCCTCTCTCTATATATCTAACTCTCCCTTTTCGGAAAATTCCTGGAAAGAGAAAATGGAGGGAGGATTGATCGTTTTCCCGAAGGGACCGAGCCTGAGTCTTGGCTTGTAAGATAAGTATATATTTTTTCTTGCAAACAGTATTGCCCGACTGGTTTCTTGTGATCCTAACTGGCTTTTTGTGTTCCTGGATTTCATCAGATTTCATCAAACATCTTGGCCGCGTTTGTCTATTTATAGAAATCATAGGCTAGCGTCAAGAATGTTGAGTTTTATTTGTTTTCCCTTGTTCATCAAGCAATCCTTCTAGAAGGAGGCTTCCTTCCCGTGCGTGCAGTTAGTTGTGTACCGCTAGCTGGCTCTATGTTTCCGTCCATTCCGTTTTCACATGTAGGCCGCACACGATAGTGTAAATACATTGTATGAACTTTGTACACTTCTAGAAGATGGGACCGAGCTATCTTGCATTAAAGGATTGTACGCGCTTTGAAGTTTTGTACTACTACTTTTCACGTCCCTCTTTTACCGTTTTGTTTTTCTTTTTCATCTGTTTCATCCTAAATTATAATCCGCTTTTTCTAATCGAAAAATATACTTTAGTTAACTTTTAACTTCTCTAAAATTCTCGTATGTATGTACTTTATTATCACTGATCGAATAACCCACCTTATTTAGTACAATTAACTTTTCCATCAATAATTGCTTTGATTCAACCCTTGAATGGTGCAACTTTCCATCAATATTATTATTATAATTAACGTAAAAAAGTATAATATAGGAGTACAAGACTACAATCGAAATCCAGAATAGAGAGTGGAGTACAAGTAACAAAGGATGAATCCAAATGTAATACAACTTTGACTAGCATTACTACACAGATGGTGGCTCTAGCAGCCCACTTAGACTGGGAAAAACATTAGCCTACTTGCCAAGAATGAGATGCGATGTTCAACCTTGGCAGCGAGAGTAACTTAAGGGTGACTGACTCTCCAGCCAATTGCACTAACCTAGCTAGTTATCTATCCAACTGATTTTTTTGTTAAGCTTAACAATTCAAAATGGACAAAAGAGTTGTAACCATATGCTTTTAGTTGAGTCTATTTGGATAGAAGATTATACTATTTTAAATTTTTTGCAATATGATATATATGAGATAAAAAAAATGGTTAGAAAACGTGTTTGTAGTATAAGTATAAAAAAATATTTCTCTTCTTTTTTTCTTTTTTTTTTTTTGAAAATGACTAATCGAAACGTACCTAGTTGGAGGAAAAAAAATATGTATACACCTAAAATTTGATGGCCTTATAGGTCTTTTGCTCTTCTTTCCATTTGCCCTTTCTTCTTTCCAAAATTTTGTCATATCCTTTTTGTTGGTTCACGTCATTTAAGGTGGAAGAATGGCAAGTTTCCCCTTTTCCCTTTCAATCCTGCGAAATAGGCTTAACATAGCATTAATTATGTGATTTCATTTGGTTTTTTTGCCGTAATATTATCAACCCCCCACCCCCACAATCTAAGCGCAGGGAGGGCTTGGCCTTAAATTTCTTTCTAGACAAGTGCAATTCATGTATAAGCATCTAATCTAAATTATCCTTTATAGGACAAGGAAATCCACCAAAAAAAAGGGGGTTAAGGAGGATTAATATTGTATTTCTAATTTCCTAAAACATAAAGATACAAAAAAAAAAAAAAAAAAACTGAGGCTCCAAAATTGGGGTCTTGGAACGAACTGCTCATTGCTGCGTGAGAAAAGTGTGGATCCTTTTTTATCAAACTCTGCTACATTGCCTCAACCTCTAGGGGTACCCAATGGTTTCTTGGCCAGAGTCTCCACTGAAAAAATTCCTCCGGTAGAAAGCTCTTTAATGGCTAGTATGGGAGCATAGGATATAAAAGAAAAGATGAGAAAACTTAAGTTAGGAAAGAAAAGAAAAGAAGAGAAAAGAATTGTAGCGATTTTGATATTATTTGAGAGGTTAAAAAAGAAATAGAATGATTTAGGATATATATATCATTAAAATTTTGTTTAGTGCTCATCTAAAGGTAGAATTGATATTTCGAAAAAATTTTGGGCTTTCTTCGACGTTTCGTTCGTTCAAATTAGGCCATAAGTGGGTAAAAAAATTTTTCAACTCAAGCAGCACTCTAAATCCCTCCAAATCAGGTCAAATCCTTTGTTTTTTGTCGTGAGTAAACTCACAAATGAAAGAAAAATATTCCTTCCTCCCACTTTTTTTCCTATTCCTATCAAATCCTATCTGCCAAACTAGCTATAAAAGATCTTTGTATATTGCCTCTTCGACTATAAGCTTTCTACAGCTTTCGATCAATGACAGGGTGTCGGGCCTGTGCAATAATAAAAACCTACTCAACTAAAATTAATTTTTGTAAATAGTGATAAGCAGGGTCGAATCCACAGGGATTAGGTGTAACTGTTTCTTTTCAAATTCACAGTAACCAGGGGGTATTTTTGTGTAGAATGTGACAATCAAATAAATGCAAATAAAATCCAAGAAACTACTAAAAATTAAATAACAATTTACTAAAGTCAAATGAATGATAACTAATGATCTAGCCAAGAAATAACTTCAGTAATAGTTCACCTAATTGATCATTGAAACAAAGGCAATTCCAATTATTTACTAATAAATAGGTTATAACTGTCAAACAAGCGATGACAGTCAACTTCTCCTTACTGTGTGCCGGTGATTAAGGTACGCCCGTTAATCACTGCCCTAATTGAGAAATAATCTTAGGTACGCCCGTAAAATTTAATTCCCCAATTGCCTTACGTATTAGAGGAGCCCTATTCTAACCAAATAACGCACTACCAGGGTTATTTTATATTAGCCCGCGTATTCTCCTGACACAAATCTAATCATACCAGTTGACACTATTTTGAGTCAATTAAACAATTACGAGTTTAATGCCCTAATTGATAATAGATTATCAAGTTAACTAATTATCCAGATCCAAAACAATCAATTAATTAAATAATCGTAAGTACTGCAATCAAAGAATATTCGAATACCAATAAATAATAGGAAAAGATAAAATTAAATCGATCTCACAATTTTTAGACAAGCCAAAACCTCCGTTGTCCCTTGACTAGAGTGAGAAAATTAGTTCATATTTGATGGATAAAATCCACAGGAAATTGAAGCAACGGTAGCGGCCATTGGCCTTGTTCGTGAGAATTTAATTTGTTCGATTGAATAAGGAAAAACCAGCGACTACACAGAATGATTCAATTCTTCGTAAGGCTCCTGACATGCGTAGGAGAACTCCACTGCCAAAAGCTAAGAAGGAAAAGTCCAAAAAGAAAAAGCTAAGCTAGAGGTCTTTATATGAAGAAGGAAAAGCTACTACGGTGACAAAAGAAAAGTCAAAACTCAAAGATTAAAGGTAGTGCTCATCCCCTGTTCCTAATTCCAATGTTTTAAAAATCAGATCGTTAATTGAACCGGTGAAATGAAAGGGTTGAGGTTCAACCGATCGGACCGATTCAACTTTGGTTCAATGAATTTTAAAAAAAATAATTTATATAAATATATATATGCACAAAATAAGACATGTAATAGACTAATTTAATACTTTACATGATAAAAAGTTTACTATTTTTGAATAACTTGGATTTTTAAAAATAAATTATTTATTTTTGAATTATAAGTTAAAACAAATAAATTTCATCTCAATTTCAATTATATCTACCAAAAAATCTTAAATCCAACCCAAAAATATCACAATATTTTGAAATTATACAAAATTCACGTCTATGAGAATTTAGATATTGTGAACTTAAATTTTAATTTACGTTTTGGGATTTAAATATTGCAATTTAAAAAAGAAAATTTGGATTTCGAAAGAAGTCAATAGAATCGAAAATAGAAATGCAAACTTGATAAGAAACAAAAAATGAGATAAAAGTAAGTGGTTGTGGCATTAAATAATTTGGGTTGAGAAAAATAATTCTTTTTTAACTTTTTTAATTTAATGGACAAAAATAAAATTAAAAGATGTAAGAAAACATCAATAAATTAAAAATAAAGATGTTTGATTAAAAAGAGAGTGACAAAAGAAAAGAGGATAGAGAAAAAGAGAGAGAGAGTTGAAGATTAAAAAAAAAGAGCCATGAGAAGATGAGATTTTATAAGAAAAATGGAAAAAAGAAATATTAGTGTTTGTTTTATATAAATAAGTTATAAAAAAAATTAATAAGATGTGATAGTATAATGGTTACTATATTGGTCATCTATTACAAACGTGATGAGTTCAAATCTTGAAAGCTACATTTTGTAAAACGTCAAAAAAAAAAAAGGAAAACTTGAAAACCCGAAAAAACCGGTTCAATCCGGTTTCGACGGTTTTACGGTTGGACTAGTTTTCTAGCATGGTCAACCCTAACAACGAACCGAACCGGACTGGGATAAACTCTGTGACTTGGACTTCTTTTCTGTAAAATTAGCACTTGTTATCTTATTTTCGTTCTACTCCCTGAAATAAATGCAAAATACTAAAAGTGAGTAAAATTCAACAATTAATCCACATCGGATCAGGTAATAGGGAAAAATAATAATAAAATAAATGATAAAATTGCAACCTATCAATTCCCCCACACCTAAACCATGCTTGTTCTCAAGTATGAGAACAGTAAACAAACACCAATATTTGATAATGGCCATTGCTCCATCTACCATATTACCAAGATATCAAGGAAAAAACATATATCAAGCAGCGGTGATCAAAATCCGAGAAACACCACCCCGGTTAGCTTCTAAACCACAGACTCCTTCAATTCCAGGTTAACTAATCTAAGAAAAAGGAATGACGCACAATATCAGCAAGTGGTCCAAATATTAACCAAAATCTCAACATTAGATCCATAAATCGGCAAGCTAACTTCTGTCACACACTAACACCACTTTCATTTTTTGTTTTTCACGTTTTCGAATTTTTTCCTCTTTTTTTTTTGTTGATAACACAAAAAACTTGGTCTCTAGCCATTGGAGCCTTTTGACACGAACTCCAGCATTTTTAAGATGAAGGAGCCCGGTTACTCAACTCTTATCGCTATATGACCACGCACTCATTGAAATTACTATTTTTTGACGCGAAAATCGACACTTTAGGTGAGGATCCCCGGTTACTCAGTAGTAAAGACTAGCGGAGTACAGTCAACTTTATTCACAGCCAAATAACACAATAATTCAAAATAACAC